AATATGTGAAATTTTTATCCTTTTTAATGAAGTGCGGGCAAGAAATATCATTTTTAATGCAATCATTGATATGAAATATTAATTTATCTGTCGTTAATATTTTAATTTAGTGGCCCAAGAATTCGCTGCCAAGCGTTCATTGTAGCAAGCATACTTTTAATGTGCGTTCTGTCAAACCAACGCCAACGCCAAAGCCAACGCGAAAGTTCTATGTGGACCGGCCTTAACTTATTTCTGAAGTAGCGTTACTAGCTAGAGGTGTAGTCAGAATGAGGAGAAGTTTGTTAATCAACTGAAAAGCATATTCGTCGTCCCATTTACCAAGAGCTTCTGCTGCTGGTTTTAGGTATGGCTTTTCGCTTACCTCATTTGTTCATCGTTCTGACCACACTTATGCAATAGCGGTATAAATAATACTTTTCGATAATAACCTTGGCGCTAGATGCACGATAATTAGCCCGAAAATTTTATCTATCCGCTCTCCGAGGAAGGACAATGTCCAAATAGTATAATTTCTTAGCGGTATCGGTAACTAACGCGGCAAGAGCTTTTTCTACGCATTTTCTGTTATCCCCATACAAATTTCTGGTTACACAGTTGAATGTAAAATTTTCTACATTCACCGCGGAAATAGACAAAAAGTATTATCAAAAAGTTTGAATCGACATGCATACATGTAGTTCTTATCATAACTTTACGACACTCACATATTGGCAAGATTTCACCATTTATTTTAAAACTTTTAATTTTAATTATTGTTTTTTAAAGGTATAGCATATTTTTAACAGAAACCATATAAATACAAGTTGCAATATTTGTGCAAAATTAAAAAAGAGCTTTTTAATTAGATTTTTTAGAAAAATTTTGAGTGTGCAGCTTGGTAGTTCAATTTCAAGTACAATTAATTTTTGGGAATTTTTTTCATCGAAGGTGTTGCTCATTTTCTCTATATAACAAAAAAATCGTCGAAAATGTTTTGTTTGAAACAAAATAGCTAACATGGTCAACAAAAAAGTGTCAACGTTTTTCTATATAATCAACAGTATAAAATAAATGTATGAAGAAAAAAAATATTTTTTGCCTAAAATATTAAATTTTTTTAAAACTGTTGATTATATAGAAAAACCTTATATGAACAGATTAAAGGAATTGTATTTTTTAATTTTTTTTAATTTGTTTGAGCAAAATCGGACTAGTGGTTCTCGAGTTATGTCAAAAAAAGACCACCAAAGGTGACAATTTCTCTTATATGATAGTTATATATATATCTCGATTCCTAGACGTGACCCAGCGAAACGCCGGGACACGTATAACTTCTTTTTTACCGATATAACTTTCCCCGCTAGTTTGAACCATTCCCGATCACTGACCCCTACCATTTGTCTCACAGTGTAATTCAAGCGTTGCGCCGGTTGCGTCAGCACGAAGTACATACTCCTGAGTAAGTTGAATTTTGATGCTTCATTGGTTGCTTCGGATGTATGTATTCCGCATATCGGTGAATCACAAAAAAAGCTAAAAGTTTAATACAATTCTATAGCAACGAATAGCGGAGCGTCGGTCGCCATTTGTAAACAAATCATAGTCGTGGTCATCTACTTTCTGCACATAAATTAGCAGATAGGATAAAAGTTTAATATTAAGCAGGGATCACACGGTTTGTACATTTTAGTAGTCCACTTGCAAACAGCGTTATGTGATTTTATAATAGAAAGCCATAATTTTGAAAAAACGACTACGAAAACAAGTAACATTTAAATTGAATCTTTTTTATTATTACCTGAAAATTTGGATAAATAAGAGCCTTATAAAATTGTAACATAACATTCCATGACATAAGATAACATTAACAGTCTATACGACCTAAAGCAGTTTTCTAGGTTCAGCAGAAGATGGATACTTTTGAAAGTTTATAAATAAATACGATAGCGGCTTTTGGAAGAAGAGTTAACATTTGATGCTATTTTTTCAGAATATAAAAAGATTTTGCACTGTGTTGTGGACATGAAACTACTTGAAATACTGGTACGTAATCCAGCAAAAACTAAAAATTGAAAAAAATTTAAAATAGCGCACTTTGCAAGTGTTTGGCCGAGCTTCTCATTTGTATATACAATTTGTATTTTTTCACCATAACAGAGTGGTATTGTTTGGAAAGTTGTTATTGAGTTGAACACATTCTTGATACATATTTCTAGACAACACTACTCTGTGACTGCCAAATGTACAAATGTGCAAATCGTGTGATCCCTGATTTACACTCAGAAATACCGATATAAAGGAGGATAAAGAAATATTAAGCTAGTAGAAATTAGTGACGCGAATTCTTAGCAACTTATTTTTGCATGGTAAAAAGTTTACTATCCAAAACTAGTGACAGCGCGGACATTTCAACACGACGAGACACAAACAGCTGATTGGTCAAACTCGGCAATAGTAAAGAAATGCTACTGCTGAATGCGCCACCTCTGTCTCACTTAGTAGTACATCGTGGACTTATAAGAAACAATATAACATAAATTGTGACTTCTTAAGGCACTGGTTCGATATATTAGTCAACTTAATAAATGAAAAAGAGTACTAGTCTTCTCAATTTAAGCTTTGTGCTTGATTAGTGTATATATTCAATTCCGTATTATATAAATACATACATATGTATGTATACACATATAAGTCCCTGCAGGGAAACCGCGAACTACTGAATCAAATTTCTAGTGCCGTACTAAATCTTTATCGCCAAAAATGAACCAGTCCTATAGTAACTAGTCAGATTCCCACCAGTTCAAAATTAGAGAAATGTGGTCATATCTAAAAGCTATTTTATTTCACTTTTTGTCATTAGAAATCTATATCTAAGGTAACGAATTTAGAACTGCTTCGGAACTATCGAGAAAGGGAAGCATATATATACATAGATATGTGTTTGGCGGATTTTTCGTTCAAATCCGCTATCACTCTGCACTTCGCAGATTGTTTTTCATAGTTTGGTAATACAAAATAAAAATTTTTGTAAACATTTTAACATATTGGGACCATCTGGAATCTAACCAATAACAGCCAGCACCTCTACAAACTTAGCTACATGCAAAGGCATGTAAACCTACATTTCTTACAATCATTCAAACAAATTTAATTTCAAATTGAAAACACATTTCTTTGAAAATAATTTGAAATCCCACACGCGGAAGAACCGAACAGATTGAAAAATCATGATACTTTTTTCTTTCGTCTGTCGATTTTACAACTGGTTCGGAACTTTAGAATTTAGGGACTAGTTCTAAATAATCGAAAAAGGGATGCAGCGGGGGGCTATTGACACTTCCTAGGACATCGCCATGTTAAATTCGCCAGTTGTTTGCTTGCAAAAGAGATTTATCGCGAACCTGTACTGGGTCTAAATACACTACAAGCGCGCCAGTTCTAGAGAGCTAGAGATTTTCCCCACAGGGAGTATAACTGCAAATGTATATGAAATGACAGCTCCAGCCGTTTTTACTCTAAGGGCCGTTTTCTCACCTAACCTTTAGATTACCGGCCACTTTATCGTCTCAATATACGAGTTTTCGTTTTCTCATCAGCGCATTAATTTCTCGAATCGATAAATTGTTGCCCACCCGATGCAACCTTTAAAATTTGTACCTAACTTTAAATTTTGGTTTGGTTTTGGTTCATGAGTTAGATATATTAGATATTTCAACCAAGGTTTTGGTTTTTGCTAACAGTTGCTCTTGCTCTATATTTGCTTATGTTGCATTGCCGGTCTTTGAAATTTTATGACGAATGTAGTAAAGTTTCACTCTCAGAAGTGTAGTGAAGTTTCACTCTACGGAATAAAAAATGTATTTTTACCCGTAAGATAAGAAAACGAAAACACTTTAAAGTGAGGAACAATTTATCTGCCCTGTTAGTAAAGGCAACTTTACTGCTTACATTAGAAAACGGCCCTAAAAGAAATCGATGTGCATGTTTAGATATATATACATACACACATCGACAAACATGTACGTATTTATGTAAATACATAGGTACATACATAATGGAAAGTTTTTTTTATCAAAATTTTAAGATTTAATAGTTTTGGTTCACATTAGGTTTTAGACTTTAAACAACGTGTATATCTATGTATGCATGCATACATACACTCCTGTGAAGCAGAACACATTAAAATATCGCACAATTTATGATTTTCCCGCCGTTTTCGCACGCAATTTATAAAAAAAAGGAAGTCCACAATAGGGCAAAGATGCACCCGACCGCAACAGCGTAAAAAAATCTAGCGTCACATGTAGCATAAACCGTTATTTCGTACCGTAAGCGAACACTTTTGTTAAGCAACTAACGACTGAAAAAACGATAACTGCAGTATTGCAATGTCCTCCGAAAATCCTTCATTTACTTCTATCAGCTTTAAGCGCTCGGTGCACGAGAGAGCAGAATGTAGTGCGTCGACTCGGCCGACAGTATGCTAGAAAAATATTCGTTTTTCGCTAATTTTATGAATGAACCAAAAAGAGACAGGCAGGTGAGCACACTACAAGTGCAATACTTGAGCTCAGAAAATTTGTACACCAGCACCACTGATAGTAATAAATAGTATGTAGGAATGTTGTGGGTGGTTAATCGGCTGGTCGGTCGACAGACAACAATCACCTCATGAGCCCACTTTGATAAGATGCATACTTACATACGTATGTACGTCAGAGCGTACCCAGCAGCGAAAATGCGATTGCATGAGAAGGACGCCAACTCCAGAGTCGGCCCCAAAGTAATGCAATCTCGTTACAATATCCATGAACTGCTTCTCAAATGTAATCAATTGCAAAGTATCAAATACTACATCAATATTTTTATACCCGAGCGCACTTGTGCACAAGGGTATATTAATTTTGTTCACATAACGGTTGTTTGTAACAGCCAAAACGAATCGAGATAGATATAGACAAATGTATACATAAATGATCAGAATGAAAAGAGAAATCGATTAAGCCATGTCTGTCTGTCCGTCCGTCTGTCCGTCTGTCCGTCCGTCCGTGTACACGATAACTCGAGCAAAAATTGAGATATTTCAACGAAATTTTGTATGTAGGTTTCCATTTATCCAAGGTAGGTTGGTATTGAAAATGGGCGAAATAGGACTGTAACCACGCCCACTTCCCATATAACGGTAATTTTCACAAATACGAAAACTGCGATATTTTAGTAACTACTGGAGATTATTCACTCAAAATTGATATTTACAATAAGTTTAAGACGAAAAATAAGAATATAATAAATTTCCGGAAAATGGGCGTAGCCACGCCCACTTATGGTTACATGTTTATATCTTAGTAACCACTGCACCAATTTCTTCCAAACTTGGCACAGTTGTTGGCCTTCGCACAACATGCCAAATGTCCGAAAATTTTCAAAATCGGAAAATAACCACGCCCACTTCCCATATAACGGTAATTTTCAGAAATACGAACACTGCGATATTTTAGTAACTACTGGAGATTATTCACTGAAAATTGATGTTTACAATAAGTTTTAGACGAAAAATAAGAATATTATAAATTTTCGGAAAATGGGCGTAGCCACGCCCACTTATGGTTACATGTGTATATCTTGGTAACCGCTGCACCAATTTCTTCCAAACTTGGCACAGTTGTTGGCCTTCGCACAACATACCAAATGGCCGAAAATTTTTAAAATCAGAAAATAACCACGCCTACTTCCCATATAACGGTAATTTTCAGAAATACGAAAACTGCGATATTTTAGTAACTACTGGAGATTATGCACTCAAAATTGATATTTACAATAAGTTTTAGACGAAAAATAAGAATATTATAAACTTTTGGAAAATGGGCGTAGCCACGCCCACTTATGGTTACATTTGTATATCTTGGTAAACCCTGTACCAATTTCTTCCCAACTTGGCACAGTTGTTAGCCCTGCTACATACCAAAATCCGAAAAGTTTTAGAATCGGACAATTGCCACGCCTACATCCCATATAACGGTAATTTGGAGAAATACAAAATCTTCGATAAATCAGTGAATATTAAAGCTAATTTATTCAAAATTGATGCTTGCAACAACTCTTGACCAAGAAATACGTTTGTGATAAAATTTTGGAAAATGGGCGTGGCACCGCCCACTTATGATCACATATATGTATCTCGGTAACCGTTCTACCAATTTGTACCAAACTCGGTCTGGTTATTGTGCTTGCCACATAAAAGCAAAACGTTGAAAATTATTGAAAGTGGACTAAAATTGAGGCCGCTTTTCATATAACGGTAAATTTCAGAACTGCTTGAAACTTCAAAATTTCGAAATCTAAGGACGCTAATTTACTTAAAATTTATACACCCCGGCTTATCATGTAGCGGTACCTTTCGGAAAGGTGGAAAACATATATTTAATACGTGCGCCGGGTATTTAATGTTCGGCTCCGCCCGAAATTAGACTTTCTTACTTGTTCGAATTACTTTCATCGATTGACAGACAACCCTTATCTGGTATGCGTTACACTTTGTTAAAAATATTTTGCTAGACATTTTTATATTACATCGTCACATAAGCTGCATTTCCTTCTGCCTAGTGCTTAATTGCCGCAATACTTTTTAAAACATTATACGTTACTTTGAGCGTAATGCTATGCTAGATGAAAAGTAATGCAGCAGAAGCCCTCGCACATTACCGCCAATGTCATGCAATATTAAATGTAATGCATACTTCAATATAAAAAGAACTAGAGCGGTATCAAATGTCATTACTTGTTACATCGTGCGACAAAAACCAAAAGCATCTTTTTAAGTAAGGATTTTTTTAAAGGACTTGGAATTTCTAGGATATGATTGAATACAAAAATTATTTAAAAAATTTGGTTCATTGTAGAGTAGCAATATGGGTATCAATTAAAAGGAAAAATTTTGTAGAATTGAAAAAAATAATAATTTTTTGTTGCACCAGGACAAATAAGTCTTGAAAATGTCTTTTTAAAACTTTATTCTTGAATATCCTTAGAAATTTCCAATATTTATTTTTGAAAAAAAAATAGGTATATATATATGTCAAGGACTAATATGTAAACTACCACATCCCCAAATTTCGTCCTTCTAACTTTATTAGTT